TTAAGAGCTCTCATGCCAAAAAAAGTTTTGACGTTGGCTCCGCCCAAATTTGTGAAACAAATGTATGCCTGAAGTTCGCGTGACATGCGACAGGAGATGTTGAATTTTGCGCATTAAAAGTACCAAATTCGTTTTAGCGGAATAACTCTAAAACTAAAGGGATTAAAAAAAATCCGTAGTGACAGTTCTCGATCATGCATAAATATAATTAATCATCTAATTTTTGTCCTAATAACCTGTAGCATTTCGAGGATAAATCGAAAAAATGTGAAAATTGGAGGTCATTTCGTGATTTTTATCTATCGAGGAAACTTTATTGTTTTATGTTTCTGATTAATGTCTGTGCTTGAATATATCGTGTAGTTACTAATACAATATTTTATTTTTAACTTTAAAGTGGATATACCCCTTTAAAACCAAATCGAAGATTAGGGATTTTTCCTCTGCTCCCTCTTAAGTTACGATGAAATCAATTTATAAATCTAATTTTACATTACTGTTTCACGGCAGAAATAGGTGAGGTGGCAGCAAGTAGTGTCTTAGATGAACTCTTTCATAAGGAGTTCTAATGCTATTAAAATTCACTCAATATGGTGATAGTTTAGGTCGAAAATTCTTCTTGTTGTTGTGCTTATCTCGCGCTAGGTGAAGTCGGCGTTTTTTCTTCCACTCTCCCCTATCAGCCGTCATTTTTATACTCACACCTTTCTTATTCATGTCATTTTTCACACAATCTTTGACGTTCATGTTAATGAAATTGTTAATAAAGCATCTAGAGCGCTCGGTTTTATAATGCGTATGTCACAGGATTTCAGCTCAATAAAAACCTTTAAAATACTTTACTGTGCCTTTGTGCGTAGTCACTTAGAATACGCCTCTCAAATATGGAATCCCTGTTACAAAATATACGAAACGCGAATTGAGAGAATACAGAAACGTTTTTTACGATATTTGCAATTTAGATCCAAGATCTATATTTCTGATTATTATAAGCGGTGTCAAAAGTTTCATATACTCCCGTTACATGAAAGAAGGCGGATAGCTGATGTTCTGTATTTACTTAAAGTAGCAAGTGGTTCGGTCGACTGTCCTGAGCTTCCCAGTAACATTGGTTTACGTGTTCCAGTGGCTTCTTTTCGACATCCCAGCATACTTCATGTTCCTTTGACGAAAGTAAATTACAGACGAAATTCATACTTCATTAGGGCGAGTGAATACTATAACAAAATAGCAAAACAGCACGATATTGACTTATTTTGTACCACACCTGACCAACTTAAACGACTTCTTAGTAATAAGTTTTTTAATTCTTCTTGTTAGAGTGTAATCCTTTTCTTTTTCTTTGAACGAATTTCTCTTTTTAATCATATTGTTTTCTAAATTCCTTCCTCATTAATTGTGCACAGACCAAACATAAAGCTTATTTATTATCTGTGGAAGCTTGTAATTGGCCGTCTGTATTTATTTTTTTCTATGTACTTGTACCTAGCTGTTAGTTTCCCTACAAATGTAATATAAAATAAAATAAAATAAAATCTTTTTTTGACCTTCCTTTCCTCTTATATCCCTCCACACCCATACCTAGCACTCTTCTCGTCACATGACATTCTTCTTCCGCATGACATGTCCATACCACGCTAACACATTATTCCTTATCATTTCCGTCGCTGGCGCCACTTTCAAACTTCCCCGGATGTACTTATTACTTTTCTTATTCTTTTGTCATCACTCTACACATCCATCGAAAATGATATCTATGATAGTGTTGTAAATTGCAAATTATCTAACATGTACGCGCGACACAATCTTTCTTGTAATTAGAACAAGGAAGTGGAGGTTGTCTTAAATTAACCGAGAATACGACATTCTCGAGTAATCATTATTCGTCTTTGCCAGTGTAATTTCAGCACATTGTATGGTAATGATACACTGCGGACAGGAAGTGTTCTGTGAATGATAACCAAGAGTTTTCATTGTTTAAGCTATCTACTTCAGCATATTCATGCTGATCCACCGATGCGGTATGATGCTCAACGTCATCAACGTTCAAAACTGACAGGAACCTGATCACCGGTTAAATTTAATTTTTAATTTTATCGAGTTCTTAGATTCTTGCGATTGTTATACATAGAAAATGGAACTTTTTTCCGGATTTAAATCGCGTATATTTGTTTTTTCAAACAAACCAACGTTTCGGGTCTTTCACAGACTCCTTGGCCACGGCTGACTGTCGTTCAAGAGCCCAGTTAATAAGGTTTTAGTAAACATTATTATTCAAATGTAAACAACATATTATTTTACATATTGTGAATATCATAGTCATAGACTGCTAACAGATTGACTGCATGCTGAAGTCGTAATCAACTTCATGCAGCCGAGACCACGTCTACATGAAGTTGATAACAACTGCAGGTATTAACTGCATGCAGTCGATCTCGGCTACATGAAGTCGGTTTCGACTGAATGCAGTTAATGAGTGAAGTCGTTATCAACGCAAGGAAAATAGAAAAATATTTAACCACATACAGCCCAATCAACTGCACGCACTGTTATCTATCACACAGGAAGCGAAACAATGAGAGATAGGTATGTCACGATGTGACCTCCTTACATCGTCATCCCGCCTTTTTATCGCTTTTTCTCCGGTTCCTGGCCACACCTTTTTGAATTTTGAATCGTTCTTTAATTCCTTTGCGTCGCCATTCTGATTTTGTTTCGTTCCACTGTCAGGCCTTGCTCGATCGCGGTAGCGAGCACGTCTGCTCTTCGATTTTTGATCCGTTTACCAGTTACCAAAAACGTCTTGCGCAATAAACATTTAAAAGATCACAAAATAAAGTAAAACCGGAGAAAAGGCGATAAAAATGTAGCATGACGATGTAAAGGTCACATCGTTACATGTAATTAAGTAAAATATTGCTTTGTAAACATACGTCGAATCGAGCCTACGTTGGTACTGAATAGATCTATGTTCATAGACGATTGATTATGTTGCTTAATTGCTCTAATAAAAAATGAAATTTTGCATATATTAGTTCTAGGGTCAATATAGAAAATTAACTTTCCTATATTGCCTCGGATTTGGGTGTTGTGGTACCGTCGTTGTTTTCGATTTCCATAACATAATACAAGTGCTTCAGTTACTTACTTTAGCATCAGGGCAACGTATGTAATGTCGTCTAATATTTATTATTTGTTTAATTAATGCTATATATAACTAAATGTCTTTCAACAGTTAGATTATAAGTTTTATAGTTTTTATACCAGTGGAGCTCATTGTGAAAAAAATCATCCAGGAAAGTACTGCCTACCTTATCTATTTCTGTCGTCAAACAGTGTGAGCAATCTCTATTTATAAAATCTTTATTTCTTTTAAAATATAGACTGTGAGTTTATAGTGTTACCTAAAGCACTCACTATGCTAGTCATAAGTACATGTCAATACATAAAATTATAACGTGAACAATAAGACAGAAAGAAAATAATAATTATCAACAATGTAGAGTCTATGATCATGTCAAGTAGTTATTCAAAAAAATGTCAAAACTATATATTAGTTCCGGTAACTTGTCGGCGAGCACATCGGCACCACGGACCTCGTCCATGAGAGTATTGAACAAGGCAAGAGCTCGAGGCGTGGGGGAATCGCGGGCATAGTTCGTTCGAACCTCGAATGGGGACGCAAACTGTTGAAGTAGTATAATTTTGAGGCTCAAATAAACGAATAGATTGAAGTACTACAGGGCCATCTATATCACTTCTAAGAATCTTACTGTAATATATTAATAGATTTCTTTTTCGCCTAAACTCTAATGTCTCATACCCTACTATCCCTAAAACGTAATTGGATGCGATTTACTTTGAGTGGCACTACAACTGTTGTGGATAGAAATGTCGCTTACCATCAGGCCCACGACTTGTCCGTGATGTCACCTTATATAATTTTTAAAAAAGATTATATCCAAGAACTTACCTAATTGTAAAATACCCATAAGTAACTCTACACATCCGGACAAAAACGCCAGGAGAACAGCAAACTCCGGCCCCAGTCCGTGCAGGTTCTCCCTCGTGAGGATAGCGGCGATGGCCGTGGGGCCTATCGCCGAGTCCTTCACTGAACCAAACACTGTGTAGACAAAGCACGCCATGAAGGACGAGTAGAGACCGTACTGCGGCGGGAGCCCTGCGACTCCAGCATATGCTATTGCTTGTGGTATCACTGTTAAGCCTACTGTAATTCCTGAGAACAAAAAAACAAGTACCATTTAAACCATTTATTTTTATACACATTAACAAAACAAATAGTTTATAGAAATGAGAAAGGATAAGTTTTTTATCCAATTTACAGAAAGAATTATAAAAAAATTAAATTAAAATAAAAAAGAAAAAAATATTATTTATCTCTTCTTCTTTTTATAATAGTTTAATGTTAAATATTGTATTACATATTTTTTGTATTTTGTGCACGTAACCCCGTTATTACAATTATTTTGTCCTGTATTTATGTCTGCAGGAAGAAATTTCTTAAAGAAATAGGCAGTACCCTTTGTTTGTGTTTTCCTTTTAAATGTTGGAATCACATTATATTGTTTAATCAAGAAACGAAATAGAGCAATAACACGCATTAAAAACTTAAACAATAGCGTATACACTTTATACGTCAGAAAAGCTTTTATTCCCAGTCAATAAGAGCGAAAAAGACATTGCGTCCTTTCCGGTCGAACGACGCGAAAACTAATTCACTGTTTTATAACTTTATTTAAAACCGACTTCAAAATTTGAGGAATTACATCTATTTGCCAATTTTTATGGAAATCGGTTAACGGAAGGGTGAAATCGAATAAACCGGATTCATCCCCTAATTTACCACCCTTACTGGTGGAATTCAATATAATTCGATAAATTTAAATGCGACATTGACGGAGGTATCCTCTTTCCAACAAAAAAAAAAAGAATCATCAAAATCAGTTCACTAATCACGAGTAATCATATCACAGTAAATCGCAAAAAATTTCGGTCGAATTGAGAACCTCCTCCTTTTTTGAAGTTGGATAATTTAATTTTTAACAAAATATTTGTGTTTTGTGACGGCTCTGCCAAGTACTTGCTCGATGCCCTAGATGGACTGCAGCGCTACGCCTTCCGTGTTGTCAACGATCCTCATGTAACTGAGCATGCGGAGTCGTTACAGCTTCGCAGAGATATAGCGTCTCTTAGCGTATTCTATCGCCTGTACCACGGTGAGTGCTCTGAAGAGTTATTCAACCTTATCCCTTCCTCTCCTTTCCATCAGCGGACCACCCGTGCCGGACTGCGTTGCCACAGTTGGACGGTCAGTTCAATACCGTCCCGCACTAAAAAGTTTGGCAATTCGTTCTTATGCCGAACCATCAAATTGTGGAACCAACTCCCGGCGCATGTATTCCCTCCCCTCTATAACATCGGGTCCTTCAAACGTAGTGTGAAGAAGCATTTGGCCAGACCGGCAAAATGATAGTGACGGAGTGAAGATATTTGAAAAAAAAAAAAAAATTCCACCTCTAAGAGTGGCAAACTAGGGGATGAATTCGGTTTCGCGCATTTTTCGGTAACGGATTTCATTAAACAAATCGAAAAAGATGTAATTCCACGAACTTTTGGGGGTGGTTTTTTTTTTATAAAAAAAAAATAATTTTTGTTCCTTTTCAATAGACCAGACGATTTTATGCACAGTCATAAAGCCGGTCATAATCCAATATACAATTGGACAGAAAGGGAAATCTGCGTGTACTGAGATATACAATAAAAGTGTAAGAAAGGCCATATTGGCAGAACCATAATATGATTAATTGACAATTCATATTATGAATTTTGAAACAAAACGTGCGTTATATGAATTGTAAGCAATTCATAATATGAATTGTCAATTAATCATGTAATGATTCTGCCAATGCGGCCTTTTTAGCCCTGCTGATCAAGCGTCAACGTATAGGCGGCCTTGGTTTGGTAATGAACTAGATCTTTCTATCAAGTTACAATGTTTAGACAGCCGGCGTATGTTAATGCACAATGGGTGCACAGTGTACTGGAACCGCGACAATAGATGCGCGAGCGCAGTGCCCAGTGCACCGTTCAGCACGTCTTTATTTTATTTACTATGTCTCTAAACCATGACAATGTAGTCTAGTGAAAAATCTGCATTCTCTCATCACCGTGATTATTATATTAAGGTCCCATGGGATCCGAAATAATTGTAACTTTTCCATTGAAAAAAAAAAAAACTTTTTCGTTTCTTATCGGATTCTTTAACTGCCTCTGTGGCCGAACGGTTGCCATGCCGGACTGCCACAGAGAGGTCCCAGGTTCGATTCCCGGGCCGGGAGAAATATTTGTATGGCCTACATTTATTTCTCTCGTGAGTTTGGGTGTAATTTGTGGTTGTCTATGTGTGTCCATGGCACCCGCGACACAGGGTTTCCCTAGTGCGGGGCTATGTTGAGTGTGTGCGTTATTATATTATTATTCTGATTTCTTGGTGACAATGGGGCTGTGCTACTTTGTACATTTTATACTTTTTTCTGGTTGTCATGGTGTCGAAGATTTGTTGATTACATGCATTGTGTCAAGTGAAAAGTCAATTTTTATTTGCGGAAAATAAATTTTTAATATGTAATCATGGACCACCTCGAGAATATACCCTTTCAAACAAAAAGAGTTTTCAAAATCGGTGCACAATTGACGGGGATATCGGTAAGGACACTGACATGCCTATAAAAATGAGGATTGTATTGGATTTCCATGATTAGGGACCTCAGATTCTGACTTGGTGACAATGGGACCACCACGAGAGTGCACCATTCAAACAAAAAAAGAATTTTCAAAATCGGTCCACAATTGACGGAGATATCTGAAAACATACATACACATAACAGCCGAACGTATAACCTCCTCCTTTTTCTATGTCATTTAAAAACAGTTTCATTTCCTATCCTATGCACATGATATTCAATCAAAAGAAAATAAGTTTAAAAAAATAACATTCTTAAGTTGACGTCATAGTATATTTGCAAAAATGTAGTTTACATTCAGAATAATATTTTCACGATAAATAGAAATAAGCATAATACACGTGCAAATAAAACTAAAGTGGCTGCTCTTGGCACTTGTTTCAATAAAGCCATAAATAAGTTAAGTGGTGATGATGTATGCATATAATAAGATCCCAGTTGCTATTCCAAATTTGGCTCATTACGGAGTCTAAAACTATAGTGGAACGTAATGTTTATACGAACGGTTACTTACACTTCTGCACATTCTAAATTTAATAAAATTCAATGAGGGCTACTTGTCAATATTAAATTGTACTGTAGTGCTATTTTTCAATAACTGTTATTAGTTATCCTGTAACCCTATAATAATAATAATAATAATGTATTGCAACTCTAACGATGCATTGCACGTCAGCCCTGGACAGCATCGATGCCCCCCAATTGCTACCGTCCCGCTAGCTTTAGCGCCCACTGCGGGGCGGAAGTGTCCACTTTGGGAAACTACTATTAAAATTAAAATTAACTGTCTGTCGATACCAGATATTAAAATCAATATTATTACAATTTAATAAAATCGTAATTAAAAATCGTATTTTCAAATATGTGACTTATAATAGTTACAATATAAGAAATAACAATAAAATATAGAAATAAAAGAGTATGTTATGTTGTACGCTAAAGGATGCCAATCGTAAATAGTAACATTAACAAACCGTGGGCGCATTTATTTGACACGAATTTCATCGCGCTAACCCCGCGCGGCGGCCGTGTGGTTGCCGCGCGGCGACCGCGTGAGTCTAACTGTCATGGCAAAATACGTTCTATTCATTTAGCTTTTGCGTTTTAACTTAAATGAGGGTCAAGCGGTAGTATTATTCAGAGGAATTTAAATGTTGTTGCCTAGTAAATAGTATTCAGATTTGCCATTAATATAAATGAAAGCACGGTAACTGATCGCTAAGCATGGTGAAATCATGTTGGCCTTTCCACACTCGCGCAAACTATTCGCGAAGCATGAGTATGGATCCCATTCGCATATTATTCGCGGGTTTGCGCCGCGTTCGCGGTTCGTTCCCGGTTGTTGTCGGTATTTTGTCCCGCGACAAAGGGTTCGCGGAGCGCGAACTTGGCGTGAACGCGACAAGGCTCCATATTCGCGACGATTTGAATATGCTTAAAATGGCCGTGGTTTGGACAAATGAACTAATACTGTCATTTTTAGATTGTTCTAGCATTTCTTTTTTATAAATGCAAAAATTTTAAATCTCCAAAGCGCAAGTAGTTCCGCAGCAACAACAGCAACTACAGCGTCCATCTTCGTCAACCGCGCGAACTGTACTGTGAACCAGGTGCGAACTTCTGCGAGGATGGAACTGTGGCAGTTCTTGCCGCGATCCGCACCGCGATTCGCGCCGCGATTTCGCGCGTGTGTGGAGGGGCCTTATGAGTGGCATAATTTTTCTCACACCGTTCGTGCTACAACAGGATAACAACGACATCTTCGATAATTAGTTATACATTGCGTAAGAATAATCCGCTATTGTAATAATCACCACCTCTACTTGTGACAAAATAATAAAAACTGCTAATGCGTCAGAGTACGTAAATGGTTAAATTCTGAATAGCACTAGGGCTTCTAATTTTTATTCATTTAACAGAAAAAGAAAATTGACACGAAGCAATTATTAATAATTGTTATGATTAGCTTTAACGTTGAATTTAGTACAATGAAATGAAATATGTACTTAAATTCTGGGTAATGGTAATGAGTTTTTAGAGCTGTTTCACAAGGCGACTTTTAGCAGCGCGTCTGCAATAGCGAAACAGTCTTTAATCATCTATCTTTACACGTCCCGCGCGGCTCGAATTCTAATTTTTCCCGTACTAATACGGTTCATTTAGCTTGGGTAGAGCGGTAGGGACACTGGCTTTATTTCAGAATGTATTTTTTTACTAACGATATTAAAGCCATTTGACAAATATATATCATATACTATTCGTGTTCTATTTAGTTCAGTTGATATAAAAATATTTATAGTATATGTAAGTTGTATACAGCGATTTTTTTGTAAAATTTCGAAGTTTGTGTTTTTTCTGTCGTGAAAATTGTCAGGAAGCGTGTTTACACACCGTATAGTAATCAGTACGTTATCGATACGTTAAATATTTAGTGTCGCGATGAATCGCGCGTTTGTATCACTGCTAAAAATAACCGCCGTGTGTAACCGCTCTTAGCGATGCTCAATCTTCGCACGGTATTAGTTTAATTGCAAGATGGTAGTCGGTTGCATCAGACTAGGTGACAATGATTTTATTACAGCCAACGACTTTTTAGGTGGTTTCCACGCGATTGCGTCTCGCACGCGATACTACAATTTTAGCATAATATCGACTTTTTTAACCGACTTCAAAAAAAGGAGGAGGTTCCCATTTCGATTGTATGTTTTTTTTGTATGTGTGTTACGCGATAACTCCGGTATTTGTGAACCAATTTTCATGATTTTTTTGTTGGAAATAGGGTACCTCCATAGTGGTCCCATTTAAGTTTGAAGAAAATCATCAACCTCTAAGAGTGGCTGTTCACGCATGAAGATTCATTTTTATAAATAGCGCCTAAATTTTATTATACGGATCAATTATTTTAAGGGTTGATTTTGCTATTCTCTAATTCAAGGCGTTTTTTTCCCTCAATGTACGTTGAGTAGTGAGAACCGATTTTTATTATCTCCTGTCTCAAGTTCTGTATAGTGGCGAACTAAGGGTTGAATCCGGGTTTGCGCACTTTTCGGAAGCCGATTTCAATAAAACTTAGCAAAGAGACGTAATGCCACGTACTTTTGAGGTCGGTTTTTTTAGTACTCTGTACTGAGATTATTATATTACGTAGGCAACAAACAAGCATACGGCCCGCCTGACGGAAAGTGGTCACCGTCGCTTATGAACGCCTGCAACACCAGGGGCATCACCAACGCGTTGCCAACTCTTTAGGACCCTTCTCAAACCCCTTTTGAAGGACTCCATGCTGTATTCCTGTGGGAAAACCTTGACAGGGAGTTCATTCCGCAACCTCATTGTACGTGGGAGATAGTTTCTCTGAAATCGTACAGTACGAGATCGAGTACGTTCCAGAGTGGTAGACACGGTGGTATCATGTCAAACAGTTCTTCAGAACATTGGCCGTTGTACAAGCGATAGAACAGGCATAGGGAGGCAAGTCTTTCCTCCAAGACGGTGGTTCAATATACTCTGAGTTTTAGTTTATTTTAATTAATTTTTAGTGACTTGTATGAATTTTCTTACAGTTCTATTTTCGCATCCCTGGCAAAAAGTCGAGACTCGGTGCGATCCCGGTAATACCGGGGAAAAACGAGACGATACAGGAAAAACGATAATGTAACGTTTGTATGGAGTTACACTGGTTTAGACCGTCACGTTGGACCAATGCAGTTGCGTACCTTCTTTTTTTAAAATAAATAATAGACACACGCTTGGCCACGATTTTACCTGATGTTAAGCGACGATATGACCGACGATGGTACGCGTTTGCCCAAAAAATGCCTATTCAGTCTAGCCTTGTATTCAAGGCTCCAAATTACACTTTTCCCAAACAGAGATAGAGTAGAGTAGAATATTCCATTCCTTTGCCGTCAGAAAGGAGGAAGCGCTTAGTGGGTATGGGTGGTATATCAACGACATAACCATCTTCGACACGCAGATTTCCTGGGCCTCAAATCTGCTAATTTTAAATCTTTCAGTTGTATGTCGATAGAATGTCAATGGAAGGATTTTGTACTTTTGGTATTTGCTAAAAGTTAAGAGTTGTCAGTGGCTAGCCATTGACCTACTATTCAACTGCCGTTGCAATTTTTTGGTACTTTGCTCTTCGATGGCACGTTTGTGATGTAGTCTACTATTAATTTTAAGATTGCTAATTAAACGAGATAAAAATAAAGATATGCACATTAATTTCCATGGTACAATTAATAAGGGAACATCGATCATAGTGATTGAATGCATGAATGCCATCAAAGCCTTTCCACTGACACTCTTTTGAGACTCAACTGCCATTGCAATTTAGTAATAGCAGAGCTCCTTGTGAAAGAGGTTGTCCAGGGAAGTACTGCCACCTTATCTATTTCTGCCGCCGAGCAGTAATGTGAGCATCAAGGTGAGGCCAGACGAGCGTAATTTTGTGAGTTGTGTTTTTTGAGTTGCGCAGTTTGCGCTCGACCAAAATTCGGTTGGAGCGCCAGACGAACGTATTTCATTCTGTTGCTTTTTAAGCGTTTAAGTGACCCCTTCCCTCATCCCTACTTCCACCCGCACCAGACCGTCACACGATGCGACCGAAAGTCAGTCGTCATTACGCCCGTGAGTCGGCAGATAACTCGTTTTGCGTCGTAATGTGCAAACCGTATTTTTATATGAAACCGAATGCAGCGCAAACTACGCCACTCACAACTCATAAAATTACGCTCGTTCACACTTACTGTGTTCCGGTTTTGAAGGGTAAGGGTGATGGTGAAACTTGGTGGGACTTGTCAACTTATGTCTCAGGGTGACTGGCGCAGTGGCAGTGCGCCTGAGATCTTTGCTATTTAAAGAGCTGAGTGGCACTGCAACTGTTATGGACAGGCGAGTCGCTAGCCATCAGGCGCACGACTTGTTCGTCCCATCACTTGTGTAAAAGATACACAATGCAATATACGCTTAATGGTGTTTCAAAAGGAATTACAATGACCAGCGGTTTCAAATAAATTAGCAGACTCAGGCCCTATATTGGTTGGTTATTGTGTTTTAGAATTTTTATAGATATTACTAATATTGCCATAGGTATGCATTAACAAATTATGGATCTAAGTTATCTGAAATAAATAAATAAATGAAAATAAATGAATAGTACATGGAATAATCATTTGTACTACGTACGTAGTATGGCGTGATTGGATAACAGATTACAATAATATAAAATAACGATTGTATACATTAGTGAAGTCACTAAATACTTGTGACGGCTATTGTGTTATGGTAAATTGAAATGCCTATTACAGTTTATCAATACCGAACGACGTTGGTTGTAGACAACTCTATTCTAAAACAGTTCGCGGCATTTCTGTAGATACAGAAATAGTGGCTAGCTAGGTACTACCGACGACGAGCATTTCGTAAATGTTGAACCAGATTTTTGATCTTTCAGATTCAGGGTCGTTTCTCACTTACATAGACATTTTTTTTACATAGACCGTTTTAGCCGTAATCGTGGTTTGTGTGAAAAACAAAGATAATACGCGACTTAGGTCCGAAAAAATAGTCATCTGGTGTTGGGTAGGACATGAAATTGAAACGAGTTTGAAAAAATGAGGTAGCACAATGTCCTACTTCAAACGAGGTGAGGTAAGTGGTAAAAATGTTTGTACCTACGGCAATGACTCAACATACAGGGAATATTAAGCACATTTTCATAACTTGATGGTATCAATCAATTAAACAAATTAAGTGTTACGATATAGTATAAATAAACGCAAATTTTATTTAGTACTATGGTAGTATGATCATATGATGTAAAATCAGCTAAAAAGCGTGCAGTGCAGGACCAATCATTGTCGCATTTGTTGAATTCGAAGCAGTGTGCCTGTGCAGTGTGTGATGAGTGAGGATGTGCTATGAAGCTATGACATGAGGTGTGAGGTGGGACATTTGTATGACATGAGGTGTTGTGACAAACTAACCAAGCGAGTGATACAAACGAGTTGCCTCATGTATGAGTAATTCTACACTATAGTCATTATCACCATCAACCTATTTGTATGTCCTACTGCCGAGTACGGCTCTCTTCTCAGGCGAGTGTTAGGCCACAGCCCGCCGCGCTGGCCCAATGTGGGTTGGGGACTTTACACTTTTTCCGAGGGTTGTGAACTTTGTCCTACGTGCAGATTGCATCACGATATTTTCCTTCACCATAAAGTTCAGAAGTGAGCAGGAGATTCGATCCCGCGGCCTCTGTGTGTTAAACTATTAGGCTACCACAGCTTAAGAAAAAATAGGATAAGGATTAAGATAAAACTGGATATAATTTTTCTTATAATTAATGTCCTAAGTGTGTGACAGGATAGTCAATATCTATTGGACATATATGGAACATATACTCTTTTATTACATTGTGTTGAGTGTCTTATCAATTGTTTTAAAACGTACTTTAATTTAGTACGGACATAAGGGTGCGAAATGTAATTAGCATTTTTCGGATAGAAAATGAATTATTGGCCAATTTAATTAGTAAATTAGTTTACACAATTAGTTTAGAAAGTTTACACCGGAAACAAAGGTGTCTAAAGAGTTACGTTACGAAGGTATTTTCTTTGAACGAATTCTATCTGTTCAATGTACGTGTTGTACAACGGGTTTTAGACATGACTAGCGTATTTTAAAAGTTGTGAAATTTTAAAATATTTTCTATTATAAGTCGTTGATAAAAAGAATGAACAGAAAAGGTCCAAGAGCAGAGCCCTGTGGTACGCCGGATGTTCTACTGATTTCTGGAAGCATTATATTAAATTTTGTTTATAATTTTACCAATTTTAATTAATTAAATAATAGCCGTTTACTATTACATGAACCTAATTTCTGGCTATCGTTTTGGAGACCATAAAAAATTTAAGTTTAATGGAGTGGTACCTGCGATGATGTCAGCCAGGCCTTTGCGTGGTGTGTACTGTGGCAGCCAGGATAGTATAGGCAGCCGTCGCATCAGCGTCTTTGCAGAGCAACATGCACGTGCGCGTCTCGCCGCGTCCCTCCGCCACCCGCCGCTGCTGCCGCTCGAAGATTTTGAAGGGAATGTGTCATTTGTGTCTGTAGACAACGTTAAATTATCACTAATAATTTTGTCAACTGAAATATCATTACAATTACATTTAACCATAGTAAACAAATTTGGGTATAAAATTGCTCCCTGTGGCAGAAGTTCCAACAAGGTTGGCAACGTTCTTCAATTGTATAACGAGATTCCTAATAAATTTTACAGATTTTACCAGAGGTGCACGTTTTTAAACGTATCTCAGGGTCAATAACCTATAAAACAGTGAACAACACGTAAAACTGTCACAACTTAACATTGCGCAAGCCTCGCCTTCAACAAGCACCGCACAACTCAATGTTAAGGAGAGGAAGTGCATAGTCACGTAACTAATTACATTTCATGTATAACAACCACCTATTCGAATTTTCGATATTTGACCCAGTCAATGACATAATAGATTCGATTCGGCAATAATTAACTTAATAAAATTTGAGTTCAGTGTCATTATAGTCTTATTGTTATGAATAAAAAGACGGAAGTAACAACAACCTTGAACACCGGACTAGAAGCAAATTTTGAACATTTGACTCTCTTAATTGGTTCTACCGGGAATCGTACACCATCAAACGTCTTTTAGGATTACAACTCTGCCACTGAGGTCGTCAAAAAGATAACAATTGTTGGATAACTTCGTAGATTGATTATCAGTAGTAAAATTTCGTTATTTGATATTTTATTACTACTAGGTATATACCTATATGCATAGTTTTATTATGGTAATATTTATTGACAAAGCAATAAATAAAGGCAACAGTAAACTCAATTGTTTTTGTACGGATTTTTTATGTTACCAAGAAAGTTTTATAAAAATATTTCTTTAAGTCCATCAATTGTTGAGGATGGTCAACGACGTGTCCGGTGAACCGGCACGGTCCGGTCGCTGCCCCGGTCCGATCGTCACTCGACAGTACGTACTACGAAAATATGCTAATGCACAGTACAGATACTCAATCGACTGTATTCCTTCCTAAATTTTCAGGGCTACTTGGTGTATTTAATTAAGATATACAGGTATGGTGAAAAGGACAATAAACAGGGCTACTTAGTTTTGGTTCAGCATTTCACTTCTTTATCCGTAGCTTGTATCAATCTTGGTCTATCTGTGAATTATATTCGTATAAAGGGTGTATGGAAGGATGGTGGATCCTATACTATTGTGTAGTAGTAGCTTGTTGGGGTTGCCTGAACAAGTACGAAAGTAGGATTGAGGATATCAGCGCAAAGCAGTAGTGTGAGCATTATTGCGTTCCGGTTTTGAAGGGTACGGCAGCTGGTGAAATTACTGGCACATGGGAATTGACAACTTATGTCTCAGGGTGACGGGGCGCAGTGGCAGTGCCCTTCAGATCTTTGGGATTCAAAGCTCTGAGTGGCACTGCTATAGGCAGCCTTTACATACCCAAACATGAATGAATATAATGAATATACTTTATTGCACAGATAAACACACGAACATAAACACATGTACAGATAAACATACGCACAACAGGCGGCCTTATTGCTAAGTAGCAATTTCTTCCAGGCAACCTTAGGATAGGAAAAGTACTTAGAAGGGGGTGCAACCAAGATACAAGATACCACAGCGATAGATTGAGAAACAATATTAATAAATACTAATAATAAATATAGTATATAATATAAATAAATATTAATAATAAACACAATAATATATCATTTTAAAGTAAATAAATAAAAAAAAAAATACACAATGATATCAATGCAAATACATAAATAAATAATTATAAAAATATTTACTTATTATATTATGATGAAGGATTATAATAACAACAGAACAAGGACATTAAAGGCAGAAAGGGAAAGAAGTCACTGCTCAAGGAAGTGCTCCTTGACACGTCGTTTGAAAGTATGTAAAGAGGGGGATCGTCGAATATTTTCAGGGAGAGAATTCCACAATCGGATAGCAGAAACAGTGAAAGAGTTAGAGAAAAAATCAGAAGAATGGGAGGGCATTTCTAAAGAAAGGGTTTGAGAGGAGCGAAGTGGACGGTCAAGAGTAGAAGCGTGAAAGACGAAACGTTCTTTGAGGTAAGGAGGAGCAAAGGTGTCGTAAAGAATTGAAAAAAGGAGGGAAAGGACGTGAAGGTCTCTACGACGGTGGATTGGTAGCCATTTAAGTTGTTTGCGAAACTGGGAAACATTTCCCCTGGTACAGAAAAAGCCAAGCTTATTTTTTATAATCCCAGTACAAAGTACTAAAAACTGACCTCAAAAGTGGATTTACATCTATTTGCCAAGTTTTATTGAAATCGGTTACCAGAAAGCGCGCGAACTGGATTCATCTCATAACCCCACACTAGGGAGACCCTGTATCACGGGTGCCGTGGACACATACATAGACATTAGTAATGTCATTGATATGTGTGTTAAATAAATAAATAAAATAAATAATAAATAGACAACCACAAATTACATACAAACTCACGAAATAAATAAATGTAGGCCATACAAATATTTCTCCGGGCCCGGGAATCGATCCCGGAACCACTCCGTGGCAATCTAGCGTGGTAACCGTTCAGCGACAGAGGCAGTAATTGTATTAAAGGCAACAGAGACAAGTATTATAAGAAAAGAAGATGATAATCTCAGTACAGAGTAGTAAAAAAACCGACCTCAAAAGCCATTCATCCCTAGTTTGCCACCCTAGAAGGTGGAATATTTTCTTCAAATTTAAATGGGGTCACTACTGCGGTACTCTCTTTCCAACAAAAAAGAATCATCGAAACCGGTTCATAAATCGCGTAACGTACATACAAAAAAACCATGCAATCTTAATTGAGAACCTCCTCCTTTTTTGAAGTCAGTTAATGAGGAATTAAAATTAGCCAAATTCATGCTTAAATAGTAATCGTATATAATTATTAATTTTATACATGAAAATGACATCTAAATATATAATAATTACGTAATTTAAAGTAATACTATAAAACAAAATTAAATGTGGGTTACACCAATTTGCGCTGATAGCCTCAATGGATGCAGTAACATTACATTACGGACCAGGTGATAAGACAGCTTTGCAGCTTAGGAGAAGCCGAACAGGTAAAAATTGAGAAAGAGATGCTTACATAGGTCGAACACACAGGGAGAATTAATGATAGAACACTCAGAAACACATTTAAAATGCAAGAGTGAGTGGGCAAGTAAGGCGAATTTACCATAACCAAATTGAGGACCTCCTAAAGAAAGACCAGAGGCATACCGTAACCTTTCCAAAAACAATCTTATTTCAATGTAAGCTTAAAGTAAGCTTATTATAATATTACTCATATTCGTACCATGACGAACCTGTCAACCAAGTAATGTACTATTGCAAAAGTGATTGAAAGAACGAATGATTTCCCAATATTGTCCATTCCTTACTAAAAATAGGAAAGACATAACGCTATGTGAACTATACAATGCCATTTCTTTCTTTTTTGATGTTCCGAATTGTCTTATCGTAGTACAGTGTTTAAGTACTTAATGTTATTTACATTCAGAGAATTTTGACTGTTAAAAAAAAAGGAAAGTATGTAATAATAAAATTTATTAAAATTACGTCAAAAACAAGCCGAGTCTTGGCAGTCATCTTGTGAATTCGGAATTAAAGTCTAGTGTCAACTGTTAGCTTCGCCAAGGAGGATATAGATGGCGCTGTCATAACTTTACGAAACAAAACGTCGCGTATATTTATTTAACGAGAAATTGTTTCCTATGTGCTATTAAATAAAAAATAAACAAAATAATGAAGAGATACATGTAAATAAATAAGTTCGACTTAACTTTTAATCTTTATAAATCAATATTTAGACAATAAAACTGAAAATAATATTGTTTCCATTGCATCCGTGTAAGTATTTTAAAATTGCTAAATTTGACATAAGAGCAATATTATTTTAATGTTAAAGTCGCGTCATAGTACGAACTGAGTGAATGCATAGTCACAAAGCTGCCAATAAAACATCATAGTTTTAACGTTACAATAAGCTTACTTTAAGCGGTTTATGGTACGAAAAGTCAATGTAAGGTTAAAGTAATATTGTTTTAAGAGGTTGTGGTAGGCCGCCAGGGGGCTTAAAGAGGCCGCATTGGCAGAATCATAATATGATCAATTGACGATTCATATTATGAATTTTCCAACCGAAACAAAATACGCAATTTATCTATTTGACAATGTTGTATGGAGATGAATTGCGTTATATGAATTGTAAGCTATTCATAATATGAATTGTCAATTAATCATATTACGATTCTGCCAATGCGGCCATTTTAGCCCTGCAGGTCAAGAGTATTCTTAACCGACGAGCGTGTATGAAAGCTCTGATGCGTGTTGTAGAGGCGAAGGGTGTGTGTAAGAATCGTAGCAAGTGGAAGGCTGTTGTCTGTGCCTATCTCGATGGGCAAAGGATGTGGAGTATTTAGTCACGATGAGTTAGTTAGGAAATTAACGATTATATGTACAGTCAGCACATGAAGCCGTACACTTTTGTTCGAATATCGTCTCCAGTGCAACGGAATAAGATCCGTCAATGCGCAGCTTGATGTGCTGTCATCTGTACATAAATTTAATTGGAGAAAAGAATATACAACATGAAAATTGCGGGTTATGAAAAAAGTAAGGTGCAGACCCAGGATGCTTCTGTCATATATTCAATTTAACTGCCTCCGTGGCCGAACGGTTACCACGCCGAACTGCCACGCAGAGGTCCTAGGTTCGATTCCCGGGCCGGGAGAAATATTTGTACGACCTACATTTATTTCTCTCGTGAGTTTGGGTGTAATTTGTGGTTGTCTATGTGTGTGTCCAAGGCAACCGCGACACAGGGTTTCCATAGTGCGGGGCAATGTTGAGTGTGTACGTTATTTATTCTAATAGGAGAGTTTCGCGTCTTTTCCACCCTTATAGAAGTTTCTATCTGAAGGGCTCAAGCCTATTTCTCGTGTGTGTGTGGTGATTTCCTAAGCTATAGTTACGCTGGCGTTGTTGATTCTG